TGTCTGAAAGGTCCTAATATGGCTAGAGGGGGGGTGAATAGCCTATTTAAAAATCTACAAATCAACTAGAGCAATTTGATTAGTATGACAAATAGCGTAATGCAAACTTGCTCTAGCTCTACAAGGGTTGCAAGCCACCTATCCAACAATTCTAGTTGCAATGAATACTTAGGCACACAAACTAGCTATGTAATTACTCACTAAGAGCTCTCAACCTTGCTACTCTAAAGAGCTCAACTAGATGAATGTAAATAATAAAGCAAGCTCTCAATTCTAATTACACTAAAGAGCTTGTATCAACTAGTTTGCAATAGTGTAAATGAGTGAGTAGAGTGATTATACCGACGTGTAGGGGATGACCCAATCACAAGATGAAGATATAGCCAATCACCGGGAGAATGACAAAGAAGAGAGACAATCGATTTTCTTCCGAGGTTTACGTGCTTGCCAACACGCTACGTCCCCGTTGTGTCGACCAACACTTGGTGGTTCGGCGGCTAAGAGGTGTTTCACAAACCTCGTCCACACGATTGGACACCGCAAGAACCGACCCACAAGTGAGGTAACTCAATGACACGAGCAATTTAGTAGAGTTACCTTTCGGCACTCCGCCGGGGAAGGTACAACTCCCCTCACAATCACCGAAGGCGGCCACGAACAATCACCAACTCGTGCCGATCCTTCACCGCTGCTCCAACCGTCTAGGTGGTGGCAACCACCAAGAAAAACAAGCGAAATCCGCAGCGCAACACGAATACCAAGTGCCACTAGATGCAATCACTCAAACAATGCACTTGGATTCTCTCCCAATCTCACAATGATGATGGATCAATGATGGAGATGAGTGGGAGGGCTTTGGCTAAGCTCACAAGGTTGCTATGTCAATGAAAATGTGCAAGAGAGCTCCCTTGAGCCGGCCATGGGGCTATAAATAGAGCCCCAATCAAATAGAGCCGTTATACCCCTTCACTGGGCAAAACGCGCTCTGACCGGACGCTCCGGTCACACTGACCGGACGCTGGCCCTCAGCGTCCGGTCGCCCGATGGACGCCACGCGTCACCAGCTTCAAACGATGTTCGTCAGATTTCAACGGCTACGAAGCTGACCGAACGCTCCGGCAAAACTGACCGGACGCTGAAGCCCCAGCGTCCGGTCGTTTCCAGTTAGCTCCACGAGGCATGTTTTTTCGACCGGACACGTCCGGTCCACCTTGACCGGACGCAGACCAGCGTCCGGTGCTCAACCCTACCCACTGTGCCGTCTGATAGCTCGACCGGACGCAGCCTTTCAGCGTCCGGTCGCTGAGTGACCCAGCGTCCGGTCAAAGACCGACGCCAGCATCATTTCGACCAACTCCATTTCAACTCTAACTTCTTCACCCTTGCTCAAATGTGCCAACCACCAAGAATTTTGCATCCGGCGCAATAGAAAATAGACATTTTATTTTTCCAAAAGCGCCGAATCCCATTGAAACAAGCTCGGCGGGAGGGAGAGAGGACCCAAACCCATCTCAACCCCCCGCAAACACCTTGTGCACATGTGTTAGCATATTTTCACAAATATTTTCAAGGGTGTTAGCACTCCACTAGATCCTAAATGCATATGCAATGAGTTAGAGCATCTAGTGACACTTTGATAACCGCATTTCGATACGAGTTACACTCCTCTTAATAGTACGGCTATCTATCCTAAATGTGATCACACTCACTAAGTGTCTTGATCACTAAAATAAAATGGCTCCTACATTTTATACCTTTGCCTTGAGCCTTTTGTTTTTCTCTTTCTTCTTTTCCAAGTTCAAGCATTTGATGATCACCATGTTATCACCATTGTCATGATCTTCGTCATTGCTTCATCACTTGGAGTAGTGCTACCTATCTCATAATCATCTTGATAAACTAGGTTAGCACTTAGGGTTTCATCAATTAACCAAAACCAAACTAGAGCTTTCAGTGTCGAATGGAGATATTTTTATGAAAGTTGTAGGGCTTGTTAATTGTTATTCACTTGTTAATTGTTATGCACTTGGTCCTACGGGTCAATATTCCAATCCGCATTGATTTTTCGTATACCGACCATGTTCGATATAATTCCGCTCGATTTAGTTCGTTTTCGAAATTCTCGATATTCCGTAAGTCCCTGTTCGTTTTTGTGTCTGGCTTTACCGCTTTCGCTTTCATTTTTGTATTAAAATGTAAAAGTAGAAAATGGTTGAGTGGTTTTCCGACCGTTTTCATCCCTAGTTGTGGATGACGGCTTGTGGAGGGATGCTTGTGGCCATTTACTAGTAGCTTGAGGGACGACGATGCGCAATGGCGTCAGCAACGCTCTTTGTATGGTGCAGGAACAAGATGTGGCTTTCCCGCGGTGGTTGGTGCCATGTAGGATGGAGGCGGGCCTTGTTGGCCAGTGTGGTGGCGGTAGGTCATGATCTCCTGCTGGTAGCGGTTCGTTTTGGTTTTTGGATATGACATTTATAGTCTGGCTAGTTTAGGGCTTGGGTGTGGGGGTTGCCCGACGAAAAGCCTCGCTAGGCCTTTGGCTATGGCCCACAATGGTGACACATTTAGGGCACGTCTGTGTGGATGTCGGCCTTTGGCTGTGGCCTTTGTTGTGATGCTCTGTTACCCTCTAGGAGTCTGGTTGAAATACCTTGGTTCTCTAATTAGAGTTGACGTCATCCGTGGATGTCGTTTTACTCCTTTGAAGGCATCGTTGTGGAAACCTACTCCCCCTCTAGTTTTCTTTGCTTATTCTATGTAGCGTGCATGGTGGTGTTTGTTGGCCGTTGTATCCGAGGTTCGCTTGTGTTGTGTTTCTTATGGTGGTAGTTTTGTTGTCGTCTCTTCATGAGGGTATTAGTTTTTTGTTTTTTCTTATTGTGAGATGCCTTTTCTCTATTAATATATGTCCGGCATGCTTTTGCCATTAACTATTTTTTTAAAAAAAACAAATACCAGCACCACTACCGGAATCCTCAAATTTGTCGAGTGTTTTTTGTTTGCCGAGTGTATTTCCTCGGGCACTCGGCGAACAAGTTCTTTGCCGAGTGCTGCGCTAAAAACACTCGGCAAAAAAAAACTCGGCAAATAGGGGGTTTGCCGAGTGTCGAAAAAAACACTCGGCAAAGAGGGGTTTGTCGAGTGTTAAAAAAACACTCGGCAAATAAATAAAATCTTTTTTCTGGAAAAGAAGGAGAAGAAAAAAATGAAAAAAACTTTGCCGAGTGCTCAGATCTATAACACTCGGCAAAAAAAAGAAGGAGAAGAAAAAAATGAAAAAAACTTTGCCGAGTGCTCAGATCTATAACACTTGGCAAAAAAAGGAGAAGAAAAAAAATGAAAAAAACTTTGCCGAGTGCCCCGATCTGGGACACTCGGTAAACAAAAAAAAATCCTACTTAACCCCAGCGCCCCCTCTCCTCCCGGCCCCGCGTCCCCTCTCTCTGCCGGCCCCAGCGCCCCTCTCCTCCCGGCCCCGCCCTCTCTCTCCCGCCCCGAAGCGCCCCTCTCCTCCCATGGGGCGCCCGCCACCCCTCCCTCCTCTCCCGGCCGGCCTCTTCCTCTCGTGGATCCGCCGCCCCTTGCTGGGATCGGCGCCCCCTCCTCAGATCTGGCGCCCCCTCCTTTCCCGACGGCGTGGCGGCGGGGATCCGGCGCTCGGCGACGTGGCGGCGGGAATCCTCCTTCCCCGGCGGCGTGGCCCCCTCCTTCCCCGGCCCCTCCCCGGATCCGGCGCCCCCTCCTTTCCCGGCGGCGTGGCGGCGGGGATCCGGCGCCCGACAACCCCTCCTTCCCCGGCGGCGTGGCGGCGGGGATCCTCCTTCCCCGGCGGCATGGCCCCTCCTTCCCCCGCTCCACTCCCCGGATCCGGCGCCCCCTCCTTTCCCGGCGGCGTGGCGGCCGGGATCCGGCGCCCGGCGGCCCCTCCTTCCCCGGCGGCGTGGCGGTAGGGATCCTCCTTCCCCGATGGCGTGGCCCCTCCTTCCCCGACCCCCTTCCCGGATCCGGCGCCCCCTCCTTTCCCGGTGGCGTGGTGGCAGGGATCTGGCGCCCGGCGGCCCCTCCTTCCCCGACGGCGTGGCCCCTCCTTCCCCGGTTGCGTGCCCGGCGGCCCCTCCTTCCCCAGGGGCGTGGCCCCTCCTTCCCCGTGGCGGCGTGGTGGCTTTGTGGTGGTGTCGGCGGCGGCATGGGCGGTGGTGGCGGCTGGCGGAGCAGGGTGATTGTTTTTTTATGTTTTTCAAAAAATATTTGCCGAGTGTCCGACGTTTGACACTCGGCAAACAACTCTTTGCCGTTAAAACCTACGCCAAGTAATGTTTGCCGAGTGTTACACTCGGTAAACCGTTTCCCGAGTGTTTTTGTGGCCGGCACTCGGCAAAGCTCCCGGTTCCGTAGTGCACACTGGTTTCAGAATACTGGCCGGTCGCCCGATGACCGCTAGCGGCAGCGCTCATCCCAGCGGCGCCCTGCGGCTGGCAACCAGCGGCCGCGTCAGAGGCGCAAAGCACTGCGCGCGCCGGACAGCTCACCGGCACTGTGGGTCCAGGCTGTCCACACATCAGACAAGCAAAACGGTTGAAACAGAGCACAGTGCACGAAAGGAAGGCTTGCCCTACAGCACCATGCACGTGGAAATCTGCTGACGTCACTACAGCTAGTACTATGGCAGTAGCAGACCTCTCTCGTTGGCCGCCTCCGTTTCTCACGGGCTCACACTCCTCCCGCTGTCCCTGCCCAAATAAACCCGATTCCCAGGCCGCATCACCATCCAAACCCTAGCCACCAACCTTCCATTCCGGCCATCCCATCGACCTGGCGGCGCGAGCGCTTGCTAGCTGCCCCCATTCCCGAATCCCTACGCCCGCCGCCGCCGTATAGAAGTACTCACCGGCGCCACCTCCATCTCTACAGGTTCGCCGGGGAGCTAGCTAGGGACCTCGGGTTCGTGCTCCTGCTTGCTGCCATCTCGCCGCGTCGATCCCCTCCTCAAGCGAAGCATGGCCTCAGGCTCCAGCTCCCGTGGCCGCGGATCCGGCGCCCGAGGCAGCAGCTCCCGAGCCCGCGCCGCCGAAGCTCCTTCGGCTGATGACGCCGCCCTCCTCGCCCCCCAGCTCAACCCCACGTTCGTGGCTATGTCGGCCGCGGATCTCGTCGCCCACCTGAACCGCTTCCGCCGCACGGACGACTTCGTCGACGCGGCGCTCGTGTTCGCCGCGCGCGAGCGCAGGCTCGCCGAGGCTGAGGACTTTGCCCGTGCGGCCGACGAGCACATGGACAGCCTTCTGGATGAGATCCGAGCGCGCGACTACAGCGCCCTCGAGGCGCAGGCTAAGATCCGCCGGGCCGCCGAGACGGAGGCGGCGCTGCGGGCCAAGATGTTGGGGTTTAGTCCCACATCGTGTAGCGATGGTGGGGGAGCACAACATATAAGGCGGGAGAACCCTCACCTATTAGACTAGTCTTTTGGGTTGAGTAAAGCCCAAGGCCTTATATGTTGTAGCTCCGGTGGACCTGAGACCTGTGGGAGCGCAGGCTCGTGGTAACGAGCCAGGCCGGCTGCAAGCCACCTCCAAGACCGAGAACTCGGTGGTCACCGTCGGTTCCATCAAGTGGTATCGGAGCCCATGGTCAGAAAAGCTAAACCCGATAAAAAAAATCTCGAGCGTCACATATGGCGGGGGCACCCCGATGTGTGACTAAGGGGGAGATTGTTGGGGTTTAGTCCCACATCGTGTAGCGATGGTGGGGGAGCACAACATATAAGGCGGGAGAACCCTCACCTATTAGGCTAGTCTTTTGGGTTGAGTAAGGCCCAAGGCCTTATATGTTGTAGCTCCGGTGGAGGCATGGGGCGCAGGCTCGTGGTGTGAGCCGAGCCGCGCGCAAGCAAGCCGGCTCAAGATCGTGAACTCGGTGGTCACCACCGGTTCCAACACAAGATCCGCACGCTGCAGCTTGGTGCCGCCGCCCTGATCTCGTCCGGTATCGGCGGGCGAGGCCTCACGCAGCAGGCTGCAGGTCATGGTCGTGAGCCTGTGCCTCAAGACTTCATCACGATAAGTGATGACGCTACCGGCGTCCAGACCACGGTCACCCAGGGAGAGGTCGGCGACGACGTGCCTATGAAGATGAGGCATGGGGCGCTGAATCGCGCCGCGCCGCACCTCGCTGCTGCTCCGCTGCCTAGTGCCGCCGCCCTGATTTCGTCCGGTATCAGCGGGCGCGGCATCACGCAGCAGGTTGTAGGTCATGGTCGCGAGCCTGTGCCTCAAGACTGCATCACGGCCAGTGATGACGCCACCGGCGTCCAGACCATGGTCGCCCAGGGAGAGGTCGGCGACGACGTGCCTAAGAAGATGAGGCATGGGGCGCTGAATCGCGCCGCGCCGCACCTCGCTGCTGCTCCGCTGCCTAGTGCCGCAGCCCTGATCTCGTCCGGTATCAGCGGGCGCGGCCTCACGCAGCAGGCTGCAGGTTGCAGTCGCGAGCCTGTGCCTCAAGACTTCATCACGGCAAGTGATGACGCCACCGGCGTCCAGACCATGGTCGCCCAGGGAGAGGTCGGCGACGACGTGCCTATGAAGATGAGGCATGGGGCGCTGAATCGCGCCGCACCGCACCTCGCTGCTGCTCCGCTGCCTAGTGCCGCTGCCCTGATCTCGTCCGGTTCCGGTATCAGAGGGCGCGGCCTCACGCAGCAGGCTGCAGGTCATGGTCGCGAGCCTGTGCCTCAAGATTTCATCACGGCCAGTGATGACGGCGTGGGCTTTGATGACGCCACCGGCGTCCAGACCATGTTCGCCGAGGTCGGGGACAACATACCAAGACCTAGCCCGCTGAGGAGGATTGGCGCCGCACTCCCAGCTGCTAGCTCGATGCCGGACGAGCTGGCTGAGAGGGCAGTGGAGCGGGTTGTCGTGGACGCTAGCCCTGCTGTTCGCAGCAGCCACCAGGTGGCCAAGGTATAAATAGTGTTCGTAGCAGCTGCTATAGCAGCCACAATAGTGGTAGCGGTCCCTTACCGCTACCGCTATGATGTAGCGGCTTCTTAGATATAGTGGGTTGGAACTTATCTCTGCTATTTAATACAGCAAACCGCTATAGAGCAGCCATTATTTCACGTAGCAGTCCGCTATAGCGGCCCAACTATAGAACATAACTAGTTCATTCTTAATTAAAGATATATTTGATCGAGAATCAACTTCTCGAATACAAATAAATATCTATATTTATGCTATGTAAGTTATATGTTTATTAGTTTATTATTAATTTGTATTTAGTCGATTTTTAAAGTTTGAGAAAGTCATTATTTAAGATATACATACATCTAAATTATATGAGGTCATTAGATAATGTTATTGGAACTTAGCGTCCGCTATAGCACCCATTATCCGTAATCCGCTGCATAGACGTTAATCCGCTACAGACCCGCTAACTGCTATTTGTTACCTTGGTGCAGGCAGGAGTGGTGGATTTCCATGATGAGGTTTTAGAGGCTGTCGCCGGCAAGAGGAAGCAGGAGCCAGCGGCGACATCTGCATCTGAGTACAAGGAGCAACAACCTTTGAAGAAGCAGCCGAAGACTGCCGCGCCGCACCTCGTTGCTGATCCGCTGCCGGACACGCTGATTGATGACGACGAGAGGACAGCGGAGGAAGTCGCCACAGACGTTCTCAGCTGCAATGAGGTGGCACAGGGAGACCACGAGGTTTCAGAAGATGTCCTCAGAGCAAGGTACCAAATCTCCTGCTATTATCTGTGTACTCACGTTCAATTTTTTGTTATTTTAGCCGGCGGCTATAGCCTGTTACAGCATGGTATTAACTATATTATTAGCCTCGAGAGAACTAACCCTACCACTAAATGTCCATAACCGGCTATTAATTTGTTACACTGCATGCCTCAGAGTCACAGCAGGCCGCCGCAAGGTTTCAGAAGAGGAGGCACAAGGAGAAGACGTGGCAGCGAATCGTCATAGACGTGCGCAAGGGGAACAACAGGCTGCAAGAGCCACCAAGAAGCCTCGCAGGCTCAAGGGGACGTGCTTCTACAATGAGGTTTTCAAAGCCCTCAAGGAGAAAGAGGAGCTTCTCAAAAAAAGGGAGGAGGAGAGGCTTGCCAAGGAAGCTGTTGCCGCTGCATCCAAGCAGCTGCACTGCAGGTGCTGGTGGTCGGATGCACCATATATGCCCTCAAAGTCTGAGGCTGTGGAGGAGGATGCTAGCTGGTGACGATTCACAAAACTGATCGATTGCTAGTGGTATGAAGCATTATATTGCTTTTCCTATATATTATTATTTCAAAGCAAGGACTTATTAGCTAGTGCAAACCATTTGCATTAGCACTGTTTTCTTTCTCCTATGTTAGGATTGGTACTTAATGTTTTCAACAATGGCCCAAATTGTCTCGAACCCTGTTGACGGCCCAAATTGATCTTATATTTTATTCTTGCAATGTTTATTATATTCCCCTTAAGCTTCTGTTCGGTTTCTGGGGAACCGTGGCCGGGAACAAATCCAGCCAGGATTACGTGTCTAATTTGTATAAGCTTCCTCCAGGCAGAATGGTTCCTGTTCCAGGCCAAACGAACGAGCCCTAAATGAAATTTTGTACTATAGATATACTTTTCTGTAACTACTCCATTCGTCCTAGCATGGAATACACAGAGTATTATGACTTCTAAAATATATATATGCTGAAATATAAAGTATTCTATATGCCGATGCTTAAATTTAGCAAAGTTTATTAAAAATGAAACCATAGTTTGAGGAAGAAACTCCTTAATTGGGTTTAATCCGTGGGTACATGCGTCATTTGAGTATATTTTGTTAAGTCAGCTTTTTTTTTTTGAATGTATTATATTATAGGACAGATGGAATATATACTAAATGAGAAGCTTAATATATACTATGAGCATGTGTTTTGGTTAAGTATGACAAAGCATTATTAATAGCACGTCGTTGATGCTAGCTTAACCGTGACTTTTCATCTCTTCGGTCTATGCAATTGCTTTCCTTGTCATAGATGTTTCTTGCTATTGTAGATGTTTTTACATATTTTACATGATTATCTGTACACGTACTAGACTAACCAATGTTTGATTTTATTCACTTCAGCTCAGCTAGCGGGGAACTTGTTTCGAATTTGGATATGAATCATCTGGACCATTTTGAAAAGGAGTACTTAGCAACTTGGGAAACTTGATGCCATCATCAGCTGTTGTCCACAAGATGAAGGAATATATTAAGATATCCCATACTTCCCAGTCAAATCTAATTAGGCGTCGTCTGCAATATTGATTAGTCTTGGTCCTCTTGGAACGATGGGATTTTGTTTTCAATAATGGTGAATTCTGTTTAATTATAATCTATGTATTTGTATTGGTTGCACTTTTTCATCTTTTCCTGTTAATGATGACAGTGATAATGTTTCATATTATCCTTGACAAGCACCGCATAGGTTTTATTATCAGTGATGTTAAAGTACCAATCGAGAATTGGCATATATTGCTTCGCTGGTTTTCATGTTGTGAATGTTGATCATCACACATGGAATCATCTGAAAATTTAGCTTCCTGTGAAATCTTGGTGGTGACAGAGGATGACACCGTCTCATGTTGCAGCAGGCCTACGATTCCTTTATTATTTCCCAGGAAATATAAATGTTCTTATAGTGTGATTGGCCACTTATATGCTCTACTACTTAGCCATGACATATGTAGCTCGGATGAAAAAAATGCAATATTAGTGTTGAATGTTGATGTTACCACCATCTTGAAATTATAATGAAGTAGATCTCGATAAAATTTCAAGCTAATTATTTGATCCAAATTACTGGGATTCAATCAGTTCCAAAATGGTTGAAGTTTTAGTGAAATGGTCCTAGAGAAGATATGTTATATAGTTAAATGAACTATTATTTTGATATGAAGGTTAAATCTGATTATGGACACATGTTTTAATAAAAATAATCAGAAGAGATGTTTTCAAGAAATATGTGTGTATCGGTTTTACATCTTGTAGTTGGTATAGGGTCTAAATATAATATAAAATTTGGCACATTAGTGCCCCTGAGTTTCTAGGATGGTCGTGTGGCCAAGGCTTTTATTATTGTTTGGTGACTGCAAAATAGCAGTAGCTATATACTTTTGTAACACCCTAAAAAATTTAATTTTGAAAATAGGTTTAAAATGATTAATTTATGAATTTTTGTGCTCATGAAATATAGGAAAAAGAATATTTTTCATTATGTTAAAATTCATCATAAGTAGTAGCAACATGGTTGTGCATACATGATGTTGCATAGTATTTCTTTTTGTATTGTGTGGTTTGAAACTAAACTTCAAATTGCTTCAAATGCATTTGAAAAATACTTGAGATAAAAAGAAAATGGAATTCCTCTCCTCTTTCTCTTTGGCCCGGCCTGTTTTTCCCGCCGGCCCGCTTACCTCCTCCTCCTCGGCCTGTTGGCCCGGCCGACAGCCTAGCGTGCCACCGCAGCCCAGCAGGCCGGCCCAGCCGAGCCGCGCGTCTCCTCCCCTCCAGGCACGCCTGTGTGGAGCGCCTCCCTCGCTCTCCCTCACTGACACCCTGGCCCCGCCTTCTTGCCTCACTGAAGTGTGGGACCCACATGTCGGCGTCATCCCCTACCTCGAGTTGTCGTCGCGCTGGACTCTGCCGCCGCCAGGACTCCGTCACCGCCCCGTCTTCGCCGGTTGCCATGCGCGCCAAGCTCCCCGCCCCCATAAATATCGAGCCCCGTGTCTGCCGTCTCCATCCCCAACCCTAATTCGAGCTGCTATGCCGCCCTGTGCCCTAGCGCCGCTGTCGAGATCTCACCGTGAAGAAGCTCTACGCCGCCATGACCATTAGCTGCTCCTCCGTGCCCATAAGTGCTTCCCCGAGCTTCGCATCACGTTCTCGAGCATGCCAAGCCTTTTTTTCTCTGTCTTGCTTTGCTTTGCCTTAACCGCATCGCCATCGCTCCGCCGTCGTTGGTGCTCGCCACCAGCCACCTCCATCCACTCATAGCCGCCATAGATTGCGGTATTAGTTTCACCGTGGTCCCCTCTAACTCCCAGTACAGATCCCGAGCCGAATAGTGGTCTCTAGGACCGTCCCTATGAACTCCGGCGAGGAGCCGAGCTCCCTGGCCATGGTTCCGCCGTTCCTAGCCCCGCTCCGACGACCCCATCCCCACTAACCTCTCTCAGCCATCCATCCGAGAATAGACGGCCACGATTAGATCCCCAACCCAGCATACCCCTTCGGTCCACGGCACAATGGTGGACTTGGTCCACTTTCCCACGCCAGCCGGTCAATGGCCGGCTCACTGCCCCGGTCCACTTCCGCATTGCCACGTGGCGCCCACATGGACAACGACCTAGTCAACCCCGCTGGCGCCAGCACTTTTGAGAAAAAGCCCCTGAGTTTCCTTGAAAACAACCCGCGGTCCACCCTCTGTTGAAAGTATTTCAACATGTGCCCTTAGATCTTCTGTTTTAGCCCCTCAGTTTTTATTAAAATGAGGCCCGGTCCGGTTAATCTTTTATTTCAGTTTTCTTTTAATTTAAATACGAAATTGATTTCCAAGTATTTACAAAAATGCCATTGATCTTATTTTATGCGTAGTTTCTCCGATTTGACCCGTTCAAGTTGCGTTAGATTCGTAACGACATAATCTACGCATTAGTATCAATGTTTTCCATGTCAAGAGCTCTGGAATTTCATGGTTTAAATCCTAACTTGATTAATAACTATGCAACTAAATTTATAAATAAAATATGATTTATTCAGCTCTGATTTTCATATTTAAATCTAAATTTAACTTAATATGATTTAGACATTTGTCTAGAATATTCTATATATACTTTTATATCAATAAAATAAATAAAGGCTATAGCTTCCTCTCCACGTATAAAGTAAATCTTTCGGTAGATGTATCTTTTTCACCGTAGCTCCGATTAGAGTGCTTTTTGCGTCTGTGTGATCGTAGCAACGAGTAGATTTGATTTCAAATTCTTTTTCACTGATTGGTGTATTGTTCTAATATAGTTATGTTTGTTCAGATGCTTGTGTGGTGCTTAATGATCTTGTCCAGTCGGTGAGTTTTACGTGTTGATCAAGAAGGAGTTTCTTTGAAGCTTTGGACTAGAAGAAGGATATGAGTTTTAAGGCAAGTATAGCATGGGATTATCCTTATTACCTATTCACCATTAATCACTTATCATACTGCATGTGTCTAGCTTGATTACCACTAAGGATATCCTAGTCTTTTGGTACCTTGTGCCTTGACACCTTTGGGTTATTGCATTGGGTAGCTTTGCTAGTGCTCAACCAAAACCATGATCTTGTAACTTGACTAGTGGTATATGCAATAAACATTAAAAGATGTTTTTAGCAACATGGAACAAGGGGGATAGAGCATTGGGCTATTTTATGGTGCTCTAGATTCCTCTCCCTAAGGACTTATTTGTAAGTGATCATCCAAGACTTACAGTATGGCTATGAGGGCTATATGGCTCTGGCTTTAGCTCAGTAGGAGGACATTTTCTAGCTTGTTAGTGGTTACCTTTATTAGCATAAGAATGGCTTGCCGAATTGGGTATATGACAGCCTCTACTCTTATGTGTATAGCCATGATGGAATTGTGCCATTCAACAGGGGGTTCCTATATCTATTTGTCGAGTGAATCTAGCGGCCCTAACTTGTTAGACGAACCTTTAAAAGGCTTCATAGTGAACCCTGTCGACCTTCCTTGGTAGTGGGTCAAGAGGCTGATCACCTCGGGCGAAAGAGTAAATCACGACTCACACTGAAAGTGTACAACCTCTGCAGAGTGTAAAACTAGTATATCAGCCGTGCTCACGGTCACGAGCGGCCTTAGAACCCTTACGGAATAGATGATCATTAATGGTTGATGATGATGATACTGATGATGAAGATGCTCACTAATGATTACTGTTTATGCTATTCATTATTCATGTTTACCTGATCATGTGTTTATATGGGCTTATGAATAAACTTGTTGCCACCCAATTGCTAAAAGATGACTCATTAAAAGCTAATTGCAGTTAAACCAGTGTCAGCCTTTTGAGCCTCATGAACCTCATGTTATATTTGTTGAGTACGACATGTACTTACGCTTGCTTTACTTTTCAATTATTTGGAAAAATCCCGGATGGGTACCAAATTGCTAGTATGGAGGAGTTAGGCTTGTGATCAACCATTCA